CCTGGGCAGGACTGTGAGGGGGCACTAAAGGGGGAGGGGACAGGGAGTAGGGTTGCAGGGTTCAGGGCAGGACTGGAGGCCAAGGTAATGTGGGATTTTTCTAGAAACAGTGAGTGAAAGACTTGGACTTCTGAGGGCCCATGGAGGGAGAGAGAAGAATGACTCAGAAGAATGACTCTGGGTGGAGAATACCATGATAGGCTTGAACAGGGTGATCTTGAGGGACGCACAGGTGAGTTCAGCTGAAGCTGCCAGGGCTCTCAAGCAAGGCTGCCATCCTCCCTCAGTGGGCTCCAGCTGCTTGAACAAAACAGCTACAGCACGATTCGAAGGTCCAACCTGTTGGACTAAAGCTCCAGTGGCCAATCCTGACCTTTCATCTATATAAAGGTGTAAAGGTCAGGTGGGGTCTGGAAGAGCAAGGGCAGGGGCAGTTAGAAAGACAGTGGTAGGGTGGGTGAGAGGCCCTCTGGGAGTCTCTCTGACCATCTGGTACAAAGGCTTGGCTGAAATGGCAAAGCTAGGGGTCCAGTGGCAGAAGAATCCCATCAGGCCCAGAAATGAGAGGATCTGGGCTGCTGTGATTGAAGGTTGTAAATCCCGTAGGGCTTGTACTCAGAGGTGAGAGTCTTAGACCTTGTGCTGAGTTGAACCCCCAAATACACCACAGTGGGAAAGCATAGCTGAGCCTTAGCTGGTGGAACTCGATATCCCAGGGATCTGAGGAGGTTTAGGACTGAAGAGGTGGCCTTTTGGGACAAAGGCAACGTGGGACTGCAGAGAAGGAGATCGTCAACATACTGGAGAAGTGTGATAGGAAGGTGGAGGGATCCCTAGCCAAGGCTTGGCCAAAGAAATGGGGGCTGTCCCAAAAATCCTGGGGGAGAGCAGTCCATGTGAGCTGCCTCTTTTCAGGCATTGAAAATTTTAAAAGCCATTTTTAACCAATTTCTGTGTGGGAATTTGGGGACCCTCCTCAGCCTTTTTAAATTTTTTCTAATATCTGGGGCTGACTGAGAAATGAAATGGGTAGCTAGGACCGTGGCTCCCACTGGTTTGGATTCTAGCCTTTCATTCTTAAAAAGAGAAACTGAAAACAATGAAAGCATTAGGTTCTGTCCTGTTGGCTGCAATTGTCACCTTGACACAGCCTAGAGTACATGAGAGAAGAGACTTTCTTCCAGGAATTGCCTACATCACATTGGCCTGTGGGCATGTCTTTGGGGGATTGTCTTGACTATTAGTTGATGGTGGAGGGCCCAGTCTACTGTGGGCAGCACCTTTCCTAGGCTGTGTGAAGCTAAGGCTAAGCGTGAACTTGTGAGTAAGTTAGAAACTTTGCCAGCATTGGTCAGTGTTTTATCATGGAGGGAGGGGCGGGGGAGCTACACCATGACCTGAACTATAAACAAAACTATTCTCCTCTATTGATTCTTATCCCTAGGGGTTTTGGTAAAACACTAGACAGGGACCTCACATCCTGTAAAACCAGACAAGCTGCGTCAAAAACTCTGTAACCAGAAGCTAAAATAAATATTCTTTTTAATTTTGGTAATGTCAGATATCATTCCATAGCAATGAAAAATTGACTAGTATCCAAACAAAGAACAAATTTATTTGAAGGAAGAAAATTATGTCAAAGTATACAAACTCACAGAATAAGAGTTTATCCTTAGTTAAAAGGTGTAGTTAAAAAAATACTAAAAGACCCAGAAAATACACACTGATGTTAAACAGACTACAGTGGGAGCTTGTCAGGCCAAGTCCTGCGCATGGGGTGAGTGATGTAAGACAGAGCGTGAGGATCTGCGAGGATCTCCTGGATCTTGTCCTGGCAGGCTTTGTTTGCTGCTACCCCTGCTTCAAAATCCTGGCGCTCCTCTTCCTTCTCTGCTTTGAGAACATGAAGATGATGGGCAATTTGCATCTGAAGGTGATTCTTATACTCCTTAGCCAAACTACAGCGCCTAAAGTTTTAAAGATCACAAAGGATAACATTAAAAGTTACCATTTGGATTTATTCATAGCATTATAATTAAATATAGTGCTTCCATGAATATGAACATGCAAATACCATCTAGAGACCGAGAAGTGGGATTGCAAGATCATGTGACAGTTCTGGTTTTTTTTTTGTTTGTTTTTTAAAATATTTTAAGAAACTCCAATGCTGGTGAGATGGCTAAGAGGTTAAGAGCACTGACTGCTTTTTCAGAGGACCCAAGTTCAGTTCCCAGCACCCTCATTAGAGGTTACTACCATCTGTAACTCCAGTACCAACATTCTCTTCTGGCTCTGAAGTCACTCGACAAAACATGTGGTGCTAGCAAAACATGTACACATATACAATAAAAATATACAAACAAATAAATACATAAATAAATACCCTTTTTAATAAAGAAGGAAACTCTAGTTAGTTGTTCCATAATAGCTACTGATGGTACAACTGGGACACTATCTTAAACCTAAACCCCTGGTCCTAAGAATGCTTACAGACATCTCTTTTTTTTTCCTCCATTTTTTTTATTTGAATTAGAAACAAGATTGTTTTACATGACAATCCCAGTTCCCTCTCCTTCCCCTCCTCCCCTGCCACCGCCCCCCCCCAATTAAAACGCTACCTATCTCGAAGTATCCCTCTATGTGGAATGGGCTCCCAAAGTCCACACCTATGCTAGGAGTAAGTACTGATCTACTACAGAAGGCCCCATTATTCCCAAGGCCTCCTCACTGACACCCACGTTCATGGGGTCTGGATCAGTCCCTTGCTGGTTTCCCAGCTATCAGTCTGGTGATGGAGAGCTCCCCCTTGTTCAGGTCAGCTGTTTCTGTGG